GCTGATCACAATCAGCCAAAATCTGACTTTTTTGAGGGTTGGTGAATGCATCACAGCTAAGCAGAGAGAGAGAGAGAGAGAGAGAGAGAGAGAGAGAGAGAGAGAGAGAAAGAAAGAAAGAAAGAAAGAAAGAAAGAAAGAAAGAAAGAAAGAAAGAAAGAAAGAAAGAAAGAAAGAAAGAAAGAAAGAAAGAAAGAAAGAAAGAAAGAAAGAAAGAAAGAAAGAAAGAAAGGAGTTGCACATGAATGAGAAATCCCATAAAACCCATAAAACCTGAATGGTGCATCTTTAGAAATTTAAATGAAAAGCACTAAAAATGTTCACTTTGCATCTCTGGAGTGGGACAAATGAAGCTAGCCTGGCCTGCCGCGCTTCTCGTTTTCAGTCTGTTCAGTATAATTGTTTTCCTAACAAATCAACAAGTTATCAATAAAAACGTTTACAGAAGGGTACTCTCACTTAGAGAAGAGTTTAGTTTGTACAGAAAGAACAAGTTTGTTGATCAAAACTGACGATAATAAACAGACTCTGGATCAGTTTCAGCTCAGAACAGAAATTCACTTGGACCAGCGTTCCTGTGTGTGTGTGTGTGTGTGTGTGTGTGTGTGTGTGTGTGTGTGTGTGTGTGTGTGTGTGTGTGTGTGTGTGTGTGTGTGTGTGTGTGATCACACTGCTAAAACACACTCATTCAGCAATCAGGGGTCACATGCAGAAGGAAGGGAGGCATGTCAATGGAGCTGTGAGGACGAAGAGGAGCAGAAGGAGGAGCAGAAGGAGGAGCAGAAGGAGGAGCAGAAGGAGGAGCAGGAGGAGGAGCAGAAGGAGGAGCAGGAGGAGGAGCAGGAGGAGGAGCAGGAGGAGGAGCAGAAGGAGGAGCAGGAGGAGGAGCAGGAGGAGGAGCAGGAGGAAGTCCATGCAGCACTGAAGCTAAAGCGGAGCCGAGAAGGAGAGTCAGAGTCTGTTAGAGCTGCTTACCTTTTCTTAGATAAACGTTATCTGAGAAATGAAAACACATGAAAAGGAAATAAATACAGCAGGTAAACATAGCATCGCACACACACACACACACACACACACACACACACGCACACACAAAATAATATACCTCTGGATTCATCCTCGCAGGAGGATGTAGCACAAATATATTTAATTGTTTTCATTTGCTGTAATAAAAATCCATGAAGTGAGTTTTTCTGGTGAAAAATGAATCAGCACTCCTGCAGATGGCTGGAGGGCGTCCAGGGCCGGCCCAAAGCCCACCCACCCCCTTCCTCATCGCTCCACAACACCCACCACCCCCCGCCCAAGCACAAGAACCGATCCTTAAAGCCGGGGCATTCGATTCTGTGACTGGAGGGCCGGTATCCAGCACGTTTTGGTGGTTTCTCTTCTCCAAAACACTTGATTCAGAGGTTGAATCGCCTGTCTATTGTCATTAAATGGTAAGGATCTTTAAAGTAAGAAGATGTTTAATTTTAGAAAATGTTATAATCTCATCAAAAATCTTTAAAGGTGCAATATGTAAGAATTATACTGTCAAAATGATCACAGAACAGTCTGACGCACTGGTGTCAAACTCTGGTCCTCGAGGGCCGCTATCTCACTTGTTTTACTGTTTTCCTTCTTTCAACACACTTGATTTCAATCAGCAGGTGATTAACAGGCTTGTGGAGAACTTGGTGAGCTGCTGCACAGGTGAATCAACCGTGCTGGAACAGGGAAACAACAAAAACATGCAGGACACCGGCCCGCGAGGACAGGAGTGACACCCCTGGTCTAACGTCTAGTCATGTTGGAAGGCAGCGAAACAGATTTCGTTCTAAATCGTCGTCCATTCAAATAAAACCAGAGAAGGGCATAGTCACTGTTTACGCTCCGAGTCTGTTCTAAATAAACACAAAAACTGCTTTACGGTCTGAGATTTGTGTTTGAGAGTTAAAACACTGATTTTTATTTTCATAGCAAAATATAGACGGCAAGAATTACACAGAGCAAACACTAAACCATGTTTTTGGTCAAGAACCATTAAAAATACTAACAGGAAGTGACTCTTGGGCCCCGAAAAATCTAAGTCCGCCCCTGCATTTTGACAAAGTTGCATCTTAAAGCTGATTTAGGAGCAACATAAAAAAAACCTTCATCATTTAAGATAAAAAGTCAGAACAAAGATCATGAATTTGTTATTTATTCTTGGTTGTTTTTTTTGGTGGGAATTGTGTCGTAACCATAAATCCTGAGAGCCACGCCCACAAGAAGTGGCAGCAGTTACAGTTTTAGATGCAAAGGTAATAATGAAGCAAGAGTTTTTCAGAAAAATACTCTGATTTTCTATGAAAGATACTATTTTTTTTATTCCTCATTTGTTCATTTCCCCGTACGGATATGATAAACAGCTACTGACTTCCTGTCAGGATCGAAGCAGCTTTGTCAAAAATAGACCAGGTGTTTATTTTTAAACACGCTGCAGGAAAAAATAAAGATGAATAAACTAAAACAACTCTGAATAGCTCTGAAGAATAAAGATTTATGATATGAATAAAACAAGCTGAAACCCGTTGTTACAGCCTGATTTATTTATGGAAAAATTTAACTACCGACCATCAGATGAGAGTAAATTCATCTGGTTCTATTTCATTAAAAATAAATCAAATAAATGACCGAAAATAAATTAAATGAAAATTTACCACATTTAAGAAACAAGATTTTCTTCAAAGAGAAATTACAAAGTTATTTATTTATTTATTTGGCAAAAAGTCATTTTCAGCCAAAATGGGGGAAAAAACAAGCAAATAAACAGGATTTTCTAAATGATAAACAAAAACTTTATAACTTTTAAAGTGGTATTTTCCTCCCACACCATTCTCCTTCTCTTGAATTTTGTCTAAATTTAACATTCATTGTTTTCTAAAACAGATTCTCTAAATAAATTCCAGTTAAAAACACATTTATATGCAGAACAGTACGAAAGTCTACGCTTGTTGTTGGTAAAGCGACAAAAACGGGATTAAACGGGGTGAAATAGTCAGTTTGTTTGGTGGCAAAAACAAACAAATGAATTTCCTGTGGATGAAACATCTAAGATTCAGAAAAAGAAGACGAAGAAGAGCGTTGGGAGCTGCGGGACACTGAAGCCGGATAGATCCAGGTCGTCTCCACGACGACCGAGCAGGAATCCATCCATCAGACAGAAAAGTGTGGAGAGAAACAAACGAGCTAATCAAAGGCGTGAGGCGTCTGAACGAAGCTGGAAACATCTACCAGTAAAAGGAGTCCTCCACGGACTTCTACAGCTTTAAACAATTTTGGGAAGGGGGGGACAGGGGGGACATGTCCCCCCACTTTTTCCAAAGTCAAGGTTTGACCCCTGCACTTTTTACCATCCAAAACCAATATTACGCTATATTAAATTGACACTGGTTGAGCTCTAGGACCAAGTGTTGAAGCCTGTTTCCCATTAGAGCATACTGTAAAGATCCCCCCCCCCCCCCCCCCCCCCCACACACACACACACACACACACACACTTCTACGGTGAAAATTACGTCCATGGTTACTGGTCAGAATTTTAACCCCACAGGTAGAGCACACCTGAGTCCAAGTCCAACCTGAATTCCTACTAGTCTTATTTAAACAAGAAGAGGTGTGTATGACTGTTTGTGATTTAAAATCACACTGAAAGTAAAACAAGTTAACAAAGGCAGGAATATGGGCTGAAATCTGACACCTGGGATTATGTAGGGCAATGGTGTCTAATTCTAGTCCTCCAGGGCCGTTGTCCTACATATTTTAGAGGTTTCTCATCTTCAGCACAACTGATTGTAATCAGCAGGTGATTGCCAGGCTTCTGCAGAGCTTGATGAGCTGCTGAACAGGGAATTCAGGCCTAGTCCACATGTAGCCGGGTTTTTTAAAAACGAATATCCGCCCCTCCAAAAACGTGCATCCACACCACCTCGTTTAAAAAATAAACTCTGTCCGCACGTACCCGGATAAATACGTTGTTATGGACATGCCAGACCTGTAGGCGGCAGTACTTCCCCCGTTCTTAACCTCGTCCTTCGTCTGTGGTCTTCCGCAAGGAGCAGTAATTCCTCTTGCAACAACAAACAAGCAAAAAGCGCTTGGACAATTGATAAAGCGAGCGCAGCTCTGAGGGCATCCATGCTGTCGGCTAGTGTAAACACAGGTCGCACACGTGATGTCAGCATTTTTTTGTCGCGGAAAGTGACGTTGCGGACCATAAAACTCCGGTTTTGTCTGTCCACACGCAGACACCCAAAACGGAGAAAACGCAGATCTTCACTTTGGCCGGAGTTTTTAAAAAGATCCGTTTTCGTGTCAAAAAACAGTTTTCGTGTGGATGACAGGCCAAAACGTAGAAAAATATCTAGGTAGCAGATGCCCGGCTACGTGTGGACAGGGCCTCAGTCACTGAATAATTATTGGAGAATATGCTAAAATAGGACCATTCAAAGAGCAAGTCACCCCCAAATCAACTTATTTTTGCTGACAAACTATATAAATGTGTGTCTACTTGTGCTGCAGACACGTGTAGTCAATAGTTTGGTACTTCAGTGCATCTTAGTTAAAATTTAAATATTCTGCCTAAAACTGTCTGTGTTGCGCCGTCGTCAGGTAAAAACTTTGCACTGTATTTGGATTTGAATCTGCCACCGCTATTGGCTAAGAGGTATGCTATGATGTTAACTGGTACATTATGATGTCACAATGCCATTGTGAGCCTGTGTGTGTGTATTTGTCAGCGGCTCCGCCATCTTGGTCTGCCAGGCAACAGCGTTTGTTGCATTTTTCAAACAGGAAGTGGGGGCGAAGTAAGTTTCTTGTAGGGGGTGACTTGCTCTTTAAGATATATTATCAAAGAGCAGCTTCATAAAATCTTGTAAATTTGACCAAAACATTTGCAGCTGAAGGAAAACGTGTACACTGCTTTTGCTCTTTCTACAACAAAGAATATAAAGTTATTGCAGTAAAATTGAAATTTATAAAAGAAGAAAAAAATATCAGCTGAAGAAGGCATGCTTCACGCGTTTAATAACTACATCTGTGGTGGTGTCTAATAGGAATGAATGCCTTGTGAGTCGTACTCTGGGTACTAAAAGCCCTGGCGTTCCTGTTTTAGGATCATTACCAGATCACAGCTGAGCTTCAAGGTGCTTCTCAATGCCAAGGCGCCGGGCCTTGCGAGGCGATGTCTTGCGAGGCCCGGCGCCTTGCTTACGAGGACACGGTCCTTCCCTGGTCAAAGAAAATGGTTAAATGGAACAGACTTGCATCACGTGACCGCGGCTTCTGTGGTAGTAACGTCACGTCACATGACCTGTGAAGTAAGTTATATTTTATACGTATAAGTGTAATATAACTTTATAATGAGCCTTTTACGGTCTTTAATTGTGTATTTGTTAAATTAAATATGTAAGCGAGTTACTACCCACTAGCCACTGAAGCTGCAACTACTAAGCAACTAACCAGCCATAGATAACTAGCCTGGCCTGCCAGACTCCTCTGTTTCATTCTGCACAGAGAAGGGGTCTGGGAACTCTCCTACTGAAATAACCCCACCCCCTGAGAATTCTAACCGAGCCAATCAGCGCTGAGCAGCGTACGTCACACACCACAGCGCTGAGTTTGTCACAAACATGGCGACTGAAGCGGAGTTCGCTGTGGCTCTTTCCTCTGTTCTAAATGACTTGAATGACTTTAAAACCACAACAAGTACTGTATTTTCCGGACTATAAGTCACACTTTTTTTCATAGTCTGGCTGGTCCTGCGACTTATATACCAATTCAATTCAATTCAATTTTATTTATATAGCGCCAAATCACGACAAGAGTCGTCTCAAGGCACTTCACTTAATAAACATTCTAATTCAGGTCAGTTCATTAAGCCAATCAGAAAAAATGTTTCCTATATAAGGAACCCAGCAAATTGCATCAAGCAATCCTTCCTTTGCATTTACAACAATCCTCATACTAAGCAAACATATAGTGACAGTGGAGAGGAAAACTCCCTTTTAACAGGAAGAAACCTCCAGAGGATTCTGGCTCAGTATAAGCAGCCATCCTCCACGACTCACTGGTGATGGAGAAGACAGACACACACACACACACGCACGCACGCACACACACACACACACACACACACACACACACACACACACACACACACACACACACACACACACACACACACACACACACACACACACACACACACACACACACACACACACACACACACACACACACACACACACACACGCACGCACGCACGCACGCACGCACACACACACACACCAAGTAGTGTTTCTATAGTTATATTGTGATTTCTTAGTAAATATTCTATGTGGTGAGAGATAAACTTTATTGTATTTATCCGAGTGAATCTATAATTAAACGGGTAAACTAGTAGTAGCACATCCAACGTCAAGGAAAGCAAAAAGTTATTATCAAGAGAGGGAGAATGTTTAAGTGGTTAGCAGCAGTGTGCTAGCCGATGGCCCCCTCCATGAGGCCATTATGTATACCGCTCTGCAGCAGGCCGGCTCCAGACCAGGAATGAGCTCCCCTGCCCCGCCATCACCTGCCGCAGACCGTTGCGCACTGCTGCGGGCTGGCTCCAGTCAAGGTTTCAGCTCCTCTGCCCCGCTGGGAGGGTTTGAAACACCGCCATCCTCTGCTGGAGACCGTGGCGAGCAGCTGCGTCCTGATTGTTTATTCTGTTATTGTTACTGGTACTTGTCTTGCAATGTGAAATGCTTGTTCTCAGATTTTGTAAGAAAAATAATAAAATTTCCCCCCAAAATGCGACTTATATATGTTTTTTTCTTCTTCATTGTACATTTTATGGCTGGTGCGACTTACACTCCGGAGCGACTTACGGTAGAAGCACTAAAAGCCTTTCTTGACGCCATTTTTGACTACAGCTAAAAAAACTACAGTGTCACGTGGTACAGTCGGCATTTCTGTCGTTTTTCTGATTGGTTATTTTTGAGATGGCTAGTCCCGCCCCTCATGTGCTTCTCTGCCTGTGAGTTACCAGACTAGCTCGGTGTAACGTTATGGCTACCAGCCTGGCCAGTGAGATGCAGGAGCCAAGATCACCCAGCCCTGGTGATCAAGCCTGACACCGCCCCTCCTCCTCCTCTCTTCCAGGCTGCTGAGGAGCACAGCTGAGCTGAACCCCGCTGATGACCCACACCTGGGATAAAAGGCTGTGCCTTCAGCAGTCTGGGAGGCAGCAGTGCAGGGGTTCTGCTGTCCTCCAGGCCTCAGATCGTTTTCAACCCCTTCGATTAGAAGAGTTTTAACTTTCATAGTTTTAAACTCTGTGTGATCCACATGGATCTTTGGGTTTACGTCAAACATACTTGACTCCGTTTTAAGGTTAACTCGGATTTAGTTTTTAGACTTTTATCAACTTCGTTGTGTTTTTAAAACACCTTTAGTTAGGTAAAACTTTTAATAAAGTTTTAACCAGGTGTTTTATATAGTTGATAAGTTGTCTTTTAACTGTTAACCTTACAGTGAATTTTTCATTTTGCTCGTTTTTAGAACCTTTTACAACAATTAAAACCATTTTAACTCCACTGTCGTATTTCTTATGTTACCCCGTCCTTCGCATTTTAACATCTCCTGTCGGGGACGTAAACGGAGGACGAGTCTGGCAGGCCAGGCTAATAGCTAACTGCTATGGATCTAAAAAAAACATTTCAGATATCATCCCATGGGTAGAGTTGGCTGAATTACATTTAAACTTGAAATTTGCCCCAAAGTAGCTGCCGGCTCCTGATCTGTCATACTGTGGTGTATTTGGGGAAATTTTTGACCAAGGCCAGGCTACAAGGCACCTTCCATGTGTCCTTGCTCAGCTAGCTAAACGGCTAACAAACGGAGAACAGATGCCTCTGTAGAACATGATGAAGTATCTCCTAGGTAACCGGGGCGGGGAAAATACATCAAAGCAAGGTTCCTTGGCATTGAGAAACACCCTCAGACAACAGGATTTGGAGTCTTACTTCCTGATATTTGGACGTCTCTTCTCTGACTGGATAACAGCGACACAATGCTACCATTGCCTGTTTGCTCCACAACGTTGATGTTTTATCTACACAAATAACACAAGCCTGAAATGATCATTCAGTGTGTTTACATGCAGCCAGTAACCCTTTTAAAACCCGAATATTCACAATAACCCGGTTCCGCAGGTCCATGTAAACACCGCCAAAAACCCGGATATGCTCATAACCGGATTTTTAAAAACCCGGTTACTACACCTGGGGTAACCCTTTTCTAACCCGAATGTTTGGTCGTGTAAACGCATATCGGGATATCCCCATCAAAGTGTGTGTTCTGCACATGCTCTGTTCGCAAGGAATCTTGGTCTTTTGAGTAGCGAGACGTCTTGTATGCGCCAGAACACCGGAAGTAAACAACAAGTTGGGAGCAACATGGCGAGTCACGGCACAGCACCACACTTTTGGAGTGACGAGGAAACTATAGAGCAAACAAGCGCGGTCGCTATCTCTTCCGAGCTGGGAAACATGTTGTTGTTTTCCGGGATACCGGAACAAGAAGAACTGGAAATGACGTATATTACATCTGGACGTAGTCCACAGGTCCTGACGCTACCCCAACGTCCGCATTTACATCGGGTTATGCAAGTTAGAGGTAACTCTTTCTATTTGTGCTTGTAAACGGGTTATTCTGATCAACTCAGAAACCCGAATACCGACCTTAACCCGATCATAACCCGGATATTGGCTGCATGTAAACGTAGTCAATAACTCATTCGCTGCCAGCCGTTTCCTGATCAGTAAAGCCCTTCGTTGCCAGCGTTTCTAACCGTTTTTACAGTTTTTTTAAGAGTCACTGAAAATTGCGCGCTAGGATGATGTCGACGCCAAAACAACCAAAACAAAGCGGAGACTCACCTCTTACATCAGGAAGAATCCGTGCGTTTCGAGCGTTATCCGTTCTTTCATAATCCGTTGTTGAATTGTGATCGGCAGAAGCTTTTCCGGTTCGCGCCTCACTTTTTTTTACAGCAGCGGCCCAAAACGATCTCCTAACACATGGATGTTCTGCTTCCTGATCACGTGACGTGTGACGTACACGGATGAAGATCGGCTTTAGAGCTGAGATGTTTGTTCCCACGGTGCGGGGGCTCGTCCGACGCCCACACAGTAAAAACATGCAAATGCAGTGAACGGTTGAATTTAAAATGATGACTTTAGTCATCAAGGGCAGTGAATGAATTAAAAATAATGGTTTTTCAGGGTTCTACGCCTTTAAAGGTTTGTCTACCTGAGTTTAGCTTAATGTTTAACCCACTAATTTCAAATCAGTCACTGACATTTTAATGGTTTTAAATAAAAACTAACCTTAAATAATGTAATGAACATTAGAAAGTATCTTTCAGTTCACAATGGTATTAAAAATGGTAATGTAATACTGACACTGATGTAAAGCTTTAGTAAACATAAAAACTTGTTCTAGAATGACAGCAACGCAGTTTGGTCATAATTGATTTGGACTAGCTGCTAGCATGTCAGTCTCAAAGGTCACAGACTCTGTTTCTCCAAAGTGAGGCTGTCCCAGAAGCTAGCTGCAGGTGAGGCATCTTCTACACAAGACACACTTCAAAACAGCCAAGTGAATAAAGTTTACCCAACACAATTAATACCTTTCTGTCTAGAAACAGCCTCCTGGAGCTGGTAGCAGAGAAGCTAGTCCTTCTTACCTTCAGGGGGCATCAGCGTCTTGCTGTTCTGCGCGCACCAGCCCACCGGATGCAGCTCAGCCGTCATCACGTCGCACCAGAAGTCGGCCTTGCGGTCGTCGCCGTAGCCGCTGTAGCGCAGTAGCAGAAGCTGGCCGCATGTGGTGATGATGGTGGCCACCCAGTAGGTCTCCGGGTTGCTCTTATTGGCCACTTCCAGCTTCATCCCTGGCTGGAAGCTGCTCTGCAGGCTGATTTCCACCTGGAGGACACATCGAAGGAGTAGATTACCTTCTGATTTGTTTATAGCTTTTGGCGTATTTTGCTTTCTTTCTTAAAAGCTGCTAAAAGGTGAGAGATGTGTATTCTTCTTCTTATTATTATTATTAAATGACTCCTGCCTCCTGTTTTTGTTTGTGTTTTTCTGGATCAGCTCAATATCTAACAGGTTTTAACAAAACTTTACATTCCCACATCTACCGTTTATGGAATCAGTGTTCAAGATGGCCACACTGACCAACGCTAGTGAACGTAAACGGGGCTCAAACTCTTAATTTTACACATAAGACAGCTAACTTTTCATCTGGTGGTAGAAGATGGGTAAAAGGATCAAATCTGACTCTCTTTGTGTAAAAGACAACAATCTATTATAGAAGGTATTCAGTTCTGTGCCTGCAGGGCTGGTATCCAGCACGTTTTAGTTGTTCCTCTGCTCCAACACACACCTTCTCGGTGGCCTAGTGGTAGAGTGTCCGCCCTGAGACTGGGAGCTCTGGGTTCAAGTCCTGGTTGAGTCACACCAAAGACTAACAATGGGACCCAATGCCTCCCTGCTTGACACTCAGCTTTAAGGGGTTGAACTGGGGGGGTTAAACCTAGCCTGACCAGCCAGCCTCATGCTTCCTAATGGGAAGCAATGGGTCTGGGAACGCTCCTATTCAAATAACCCCAGCCCCTGAAATGTTTTAACTGAACCAATCGGTGCTGAGCAGCGTACGTCACACACCGCAACGCTCAGTTTCTAATAAACTACAAAAATGGCACCTGAAGCGGAGTATGCTGCAGCTCCTTCCTCTGTTCTAACTGACTTGGACACTTCTTTAAAACCACAACAAGTAAAACAGCTGAAAGCCTTTCTTCTTAAAAAAGACTTTTGCGCCGTCGCCAGACGCCATTTTTTGAATACAGCTAAAAACTACAGCGTCGCGCGGTACAGTCAGCATTTCCGCCTTTTTTCTGATTTTTGAGCTGGCTAGACCCGCCCCTCATGTGCTTCTCTGCCTGTGAGTAACCAGACTAGTTCTCTGTGCAGAAGCAAAGCAGAGGCCAGGCTAGGTTAAACCACCAAATAGTTCCCTTCAGGCCCAGAACTGAATACCCCTGGCCAATTAGCTACCAAAAGCTAACGTGTGCGAGTAACATTTATGTATTACAACAGTTAGTTACTCACAGCTAACTCATTTAACAGAACTGAGGTAAATATCACCAAGTATTCCACCTTTAGTGCGACTTGTTTTAGTTTTATGAATACGAGGGGTGTTTCTCAATGCCAAGGAACCTCGCCTTGATGTCTTGGCCCCGCCCCGGTTGCCTAGGAGATACGTCATCGGGAGCCGCCAAGACGTGTTCCAGTGTTCATGTTCTACCGAGGCGTGTGTTCTCCGTTTGTTAGCCGTTTAGCTAGCTGAGCGAGGATACACTGGAGGTGTCTTGTAGCCTAGCCTTGGTCAAAAATTACCCAGCATACACCGCGGTATTTTCAAAAGGACGGCGGGTCAGAAGCCAGCAGCTACTTCGGGGACAATTTTCAAGTTTTAAAGTAAGTCAGCTAATTTAAAATGTTTTTTTTAGATCCAAAGAAGTTATCTATGGTTGGTTAGTAGCTTAAGCCTGATTTATGCTTCTCCGTCTGCGTCAGTGCGGAGACACGCAACGCCATTATCCGTCCTTGCGTAGGGCTCCGGCAGGCACGCAAGTACGTACGGAGTCGAGCCCACTTTTTTAAACATCCGTCGAACGAGACAGATTACGCAAGCTTGTGATTGGTCAGGACGCCGCTGTTGTTTACAGCGCCGCCATTGCAAAGAGAGCCGAGGATAATTAGCGGCAGACACGGAGAAGCTTGAAGAACACCTCGCGAAAAAACTCTAAAAATATGAACGTTTTATCCTCCCGTGACTGGAGGAGTGAAAAGATGCGCAGCAAGCGTTTTATTTGTGGACGGAAATGACAGGAAACGTGGGTTTAGAGGTAGGAGAAAGAGACAAATATGTCCGTGTTAAAAGTCTCTTATATACACAAAAAACACAATATAAACACACGATCTTGGACCGATACATGACAGGATACCACAGAACAGCGCTACGCCCTCTGCTGTCCTGCCGGGGAATTGCTTTGCAACACTCTCCAGGAGACGGAGAAATATGAAAGCAAAACGCTTCCGTCAATCCGTGCGTGTCTGTCCCTTGCAGAGCTGACGGAGAAGCATGAACCAGGCTTTAGTAGTTGCAGCTTTGGTGGCTAGCGGGTATAGTAACTCACTTATATATTTAATTTAATAAACATATACACAATTTAAAAAGTAAAAGTCTTGTTATATATTTATATTGAAACTAATACGTATAAAATATAACGTTATCTCCTGTGTCACGTGATGTTACGTGACCGCCGTGGAAGCCGCGGTCACGTGATGCAAGTCTGTTCCACTTAACCGTTTTCTTTGACCAAGGAAGGACCGTGTCCTCGTAAGCAAGGCGCCAGGCCTCGCAAGACGTCGCCTCGCAAGGCCAGGCGCCTTGACATTGAGAAACACCCATGCTTATCAGGCTCAGAATGTCACAGGTAAAACGGTCCGGGTGGAAACAGTTCTCTGTTCTCAACCTTTCAATCAGACAGAATGTGACAATTTTACGATTTCTCTGCTTATGCAGACTCTCAGCTTGTTTAAAGCCTTCATGGTTTTATTGCAACATCACACCCACCCCTTTGTGGTGGCAGCTGAGCGTCACTCGTAACACACATTTGAATATTTTGAGTGCATCAAATCTCACAAGGCGTGGGCAGATTATCTGTTAGCTGTGGTTTTTAAGACGTCACATTTTGCTTCAGTGGTTTAAACATCTCTGTGGTTTAAAAGCTGCCCAAACACTGGCAGAAAAAAACAAACAAACCTCAAAGCTCCAGCTCCCATTTGGAGTTGGTGGTTCTCTCTTTTTTTTTATACTTTATTTAAAGAGAGGACATTGCGTATTTATGAACAGCAATACAACCGTAAATATACCAGATTGTAGCCTTCGGCTAATTTCCATCTGCAGTCCTCTGGCAGGTTAATGTTAAGAGAGATGAGATAGACAGCGATATACATTTAGAAAAAGAAAAAACCGTTAGGAACCTATTTTACGAAAAAGACAAGAGTAAGAACAAATAAAAGTATTGTCTATGATTGCATCTTTGAATTTCCCGTAGTGACAGTTTCAACTGTCTTTGGAAAGCAACAAAACTTGAGCTTTCTCTCACTTGAGTAGGAATGCTGTTCCAAAAAGTCGAGCCCTGGAATGACAGAACGTTCTGAGAAAATGCTGTTCGCCTAAGCGGGAGCTCACAGCCACCTCTAACTGTAGCTGGAGTTCCTCGGGAAGAGTCCCTACGTGATGTTTGAATAATAAAATCATTCAGTGGTGGAGGAGCTAGACCATGAATAACTTTATAGACCAGGCAGGCAGATTTTAAACGTTTAAAATGTTGGAAACTCAGAAGAGAATATTTATCCGGAATCGGACATTGATGATACAACACCGGCTTCTTGTCCAGGATTTTTGTTGCCCTTTCATAGCAGGACTCAACAGGTCTGATGACAGAAGAGGCAGGAAATGAGCAGCTGGTGATGCAATAGCCAACGTGAGACAGAATCATTGAATGTGCCTGCTGCTTTATCTGTCAGGGAAGCTCTTACATGTTTAAAATGACGCAAATTATAATTGACAGTTTTGACAATATTTTGCACGTTTTCTAAAAGATAACGTAAAGTCATAAAATTTAACATTCTGTGTCAAACATCTTCACCGTGCTTAAGTGTGGTAGTTTCCCCAGCTAACTTCTGCGCATGTTTCAGTAAGATAAAGGGGCAACAACGCGCCAGACCGAGCGTTAAAGGGTTAATCTACAGGCACTCCGCCCATCTCTCTTTGCCAAATTCAAGCTAATGCTATCTTAAAATGAACATCTGCAACCTGCTGAGAGAATTAGCACGCCAATCATCAAAGCACACACGAGTCCTGCTGCTGAGGCCGATAATGTGGCTAATAAAGTCACCAACGTCAACAAAGCAGCTCTTAGAGAGACAGAACAGGAAATCGGGCCTAGCTAGAACTGCTCAAGTATCTCATCAGTGTTCAAAATGATTCTTCCTTTGTGTTTGAGTCCACACAACCACGCGACTCAGTTACATTCACTATCAATCAATCAAATCAATCAAAGCTTTATTTATAAAGTGCCTTCCGCAACCTTGTCAGGAAGCCCAAAGCGCTGAACATTGTACAGTTGTATGTAAATATATTGAATAAATCAACAATAAAAGAAATTCAAATTACAAAATACAAAATGGAAATTACAAGATAGATGAAACAGTCCGGTAAAGGACAAATGTGTGAAACACATTTGGATTGAGTGGATGGATTGAGTGTACCAATGAAAACTGTGGAATGGATTCAACATAAAGGAGGGCCAAAATCAATGGCCCTCTAATGTTGTTATGGAACATTCTATTTATTCCACTTGAATTTATTTCTGTTATTTAGTGCATTCACTTGGTTACACTGTAAAACTACCAAGCTGTGGTCTTTCTGATGAAGGTTTCCACCCGAGCCTTACCCGCTCATGAACAAATGATTGTTCTTCAGGATTTGACCAGAACAGCTTTACTTGCATAACTCCTCAATGATTCACAATAAAACGTCTACAGGGCTACAAGGTGCTTTCATTTAATCCTTGCTGGCTTGGTTAAGCTCCTGATTTAGCTCGGATTTGTTTTTTAAAATTTTACAGTTCATTTAACTGCAAAAAATAAAATAATAATAATGAATAAATAAACATAAAATCTTTAAAACAGATGTTTGATCAAAGTGGATTCGTCCTACCGTTGATTATTAAGTAAAAATTAACTTTTTATTATACTGTACAAAATAAACAAGGAATTTGTTTTTCTTTGCGTGTAAACAAAACAGTTCACTGATGTCCTGCCTTCAAAAAGTTATGGAAACCTTT